GATAAAAATGTCAAAATTTGCACACAAATACTGTCTTAAAAAAAACGTCCAATAGCAGTGACGTTGGTGCGGGTAGTCTGAGGGATATAATTAAAGGAATGTTAAACGTCACAATTTCTGAAACATCCTAAAGGTTTTGCATACCTCAAAGGATAATACAAAAAAATGTGTACATAGTTGAAAATCCTACATTTTTCAAGAAATACTAAGGTGAAGCTCGTTGCTCACATAAACAGCAGAAGTAAATTTAAAATAAATTAACATGAAAAAGTGTTACTATGATTTCATTACAATTTGACACCATGTCATACATACAGGCTGTTACAAATTCGCTTCTCACTACAGGGATCTCGAAAACGGTGAGAGGTACGAAGTAGCTTAAATGGGGGCAAAGTTGCGTAATCAGCGGACCAACATTATGCCTCTAAAAAATCAAGGCTAACATAATTAGTTTTCGAAATATTTGAAAAAAAACGTAATTTTGTTTCATTTCAGCTTTGAGGTGATATTGAAAAAAGAAGAACACTTTCTCATGATCACTTTTGCCCTCTATCGAATGGCATAATCAGTTTTTATATGTAACGTTTCGTCTCTCCAGGACCATCATCAATGGATTTCACAGTATCTAACGACACTTACAGTGCACGATAATTCAATAAACAAAGAAATCTAAATAAAAAATTTAGATAATTTTGGAACGAATACACTGAAGATGAATTTTTCGAGACAAAACGTCTAAATCTGGTTCGGGCTGAGGCAGTACAGTATTGGGAGTCATGAAGGCTTGCAAAAAATGTAATAAAATTTCTAGGGTCGTATTCAAAAAAATGAAGTCGATGAAGGTCCTGGAGAGATGAAACGTTACATATAAAAATTGATTATGCCATTCGACAGAGGGCAAAAAGTGGTCACGAGAAAGTGTTCTTCTTTTTTCAATATCATCTCAAACAAGGCTAAAATGAAACAAAAACGAATTTCCAAAATTTCCGTTTTTTTTTTTTCAAATATTTCGAAAACTAAGCATGTTAGCCTTGATTTTTTAGAGGGATAATATTGGTCCCGTGAATAAGCAACTTTGTCCCCATTTAAGTTAGTAGGTATCTCTTACCGTTTTCGAGATCCCTGTAGTGAGAAGCGAATTTGTAACAACCTGTATAGTAACTACACTCGCCTTGACTAATTCACGTTTAACAATCACAGATACACTTGGGTGGTCAAGAAAAATGTGGAAAAATAACCTACACCTATGCTAAGGAAGTAATATAAGTAATAAATGTGCCCCACCTCAAGAAGCAGACACGACAGAAATAACCTTGCACATGTATGCACTGCGTCTTAAAAAGTCCGATGACAATGATGCCACTTACCCAGAAATTTCCTTTAACAGAAAAAAATGTCTATGCTTTATTACATGTTACGTAATAAATCAATAAAATTAAATAAAAACACACGAAACATTTCCCTTTTTAATTGCATTTCATACGTGAACAGACAGCCTCTCCAACTCTCAAGCATTTTTAGATGGACTATAAATATGCAGATTTTTTATAACTTCTTTAAACCTCATCATCATTATATTACCCTGATTAATAAATCATCTTAATTTTAAGCCCTTTTTTGTTTTATTTTGTCTTAACAAACCTGGTGGGGTCCAAATAGGCCTTTAAATTGGACTATATGTTTAAGGAGTAAAACCCAGTGGCGGCTGATGCAGGGGGCACAACACAAAAAAAGGAAATGTTTTTGTACTATTTAACTCAACATGCAAAATTCATTTGAAAAATATACTGAATATCGTGGGCTCCTTGTAGCTCGCCTCTACATCTGTAAAGTGTTTATAGTGGTAGTCATGGTTACTATCGCAGTAGTGAAAGACGTAGTGGGGGTAGCAGGGAATATTTACTATGCAGTTTGAGCTTTGATTAGTTTACGTGTAACCAAATAATAGCTTTGATTCCTTTTTTTTTCTTAATAAACCTAATTCGTTCAGGTGTGGTATAAAATTTTGTTACTTACATATTGCTTCTTGTTTTTTTTTTAATTGTAAGTTTAAATTGATTGTAGCACTTAATGGTGCGAGAAATACCAAACTTTAATCAAAAAGTAATTGAAGACTTTATTTATAAAACATAAAAATAATGTCGAGTACATTTTCCCATATTTAAATAGTAATTAAAATAAAACGAAGTAATTATATATTTCTTTTTTTTGCAATACTTGGTATCAAAATATTTCCGCCTTCCTTGGTATGGAAGAGCTGTCACTGGAAGACCATTGTATAATTTTCAGAAGATCTATTTTTATTATTGATATAAAAGATGCTTTGAACCTTCAGAATAAGGGAAAAAAAGTTTTATACCTGTACAAAAATTTTTCTTTTGAAATTCTGATGTAACAAAAGCTGGGACACGTGATTTTTTATTTGTTAGTTCTCGGTACGGATGGGTCAATTCAGACATTCAGACAGTAAAATGTTTCAGTCAATAATAATTATTGAAAAGTTAAGAATTTTCAAGTAGGTTTAGCGTCGCCATAAAGTCGTCGAGAGACTAGTGCCTTTTGTCACCGGGAGTAATAAATTTGTAAAGCCGTCCTTAGGAGAAGGCCTCATGAAATTTAGCAATGTTTTTGAAGAAGTTCACTTAGACTGTCTGGGTCATGTGTTGGGCATCTGTTAGCGACGGTTTAGCCCATGGTGAAGGGAAAAATCGATACCATCAAACGGGGTTAAGTTGATACAAAATAATGGTTTTTGAAAAAAATAATGTAGATTCTGTAGACAATCTTTCATTTACCCCGCAAAAGTAGTTTTTGATATTATTTGCTACATTTTTTCAACATGATGAAAGCATTATTTTCTTATTGGTATCTGTTCACAAATAACCAAACTATAATACTAGCATGCAGAACCCTTATTGTGTACTACCTTGCACGTGTAATCAAACGGTTTCGTATGTTTCATATCATGCAAAATTTAAGCTTTATAATTATTAATCATTTTCCGAGTTCCTACTTTTTATTTTGCACAACGTTCACACTTCTCAAGACAACTGACACGTGTGCTAACCAATTCACACATTACAATGATGACATAACGCAGCAGTCTGATCACGCACCACAATATATTTGGATGTCCACGGTTGGTCGACTTTACCCCTACTGGTCAATTTAACCCCGTTTGACGGTATTTCTAATAACGCGCGAAATACATTCGAAAAGGCGTAGGAATTGAAAGGTACTTAAATAAATTGTTAGATTGGGAGAAAAATAACAATGGATCAAATAGCTGGTTTTTAGGCGGATTTTCCAAGTTATAAGAATAGATTAAATGAGATTGACTAATCCGTCCCATGTTGCTATACGGAGTCACGAGAGGAAGGTGTTCAGTTTATTAACCACCGATATTCAGGGATCCCGCTAGTAAGATAAGAACCGAATCTTCTGTACCCCAGAAATGGGCGTGTCGAATTCAGGAGAGATCTCCGAAGAAAGCAGTTTCTCCTTGGATTCCACACTGGACAGTTTTCTTAATTTTAGAGTCTCGGGTTAATTTAATAACAGATAAAGTCTTTCCAAATTTCCCTGAATCTTGGATTGCGCGCAAATTTAATAGTAATTTCTTTTGCAATCTAATCGTTATGATACTGGCCATAACGGGAGATAGATAAATAAAGAAATAATCCCTCAGGTTACATCGAGCCCTTTCACAAGCGCATCAGACTGCAGCAGAACGACTACCTGCACCACATAAATACCTGCAGTAAGGGTACAGCTTCATGGCATACCTTTTTATTTCTAACTTCTCTAATACACCAACTGATATGTCCTTAGGAGTTTGTTTTTAATTGCCAGTGTACATACAATGTACCTCTTTGTCGTTAAGGATAACGGCTGGATCGTTCGTCGGTTGTCTCACCTATGACACACTGATGAGTACTAATAAGTCCGAAACCGGTATGTGCCTGGTGGGTAAACTAACAAACGATCCTAGCTGGTTGCGAGTATAGTTCAATGCCGGTCGGGGCATATAGTCCGCGGAGTAGTTGTTTCTCGCAACACTGGCAATAAAAACATTGTTTCGCCCTCTGTGGGCGGCAGTCGTGCAACAAAGTACCTGGCAATATAGTAGGTCGCTTCCTACTGTAGCCATTTGCATAATTCCAACAGTTTTCATTCTATTTTCTCCAAATTTTGACCATGTCTTTAAAATAATATTCTGAAGAAATTTTCGATAAGTTGATTTTAACATTATTTATTGACAAATGATTGACTTTTTTTTCAAAAATTTAACTTTTTACTTTAAATGCTCGCCAATCACACAAAAATAAATGTTTTTAAACATTCAATATGCCCCACGAGAATGGTTCCAGCGTTGCCATTTTGTACTATTTAGGTATAATAAATATTTTTTGAGCACTTATTATTTTCTTACTTTTCTTCATAAAAAAAGCAAACAACGCTTTATTTTAGAATTTTAGTGATTAAAAGAAAAAAAAAAACACCAAAATTTGATGCAATTTTCGTTTTTGTCGAAATGCGTTTGACAAATTACTATTTGGTGGTCAAATAATACGCCATAATAGTCCAAATACATGTGCAAAATTTTAACGTGATCGATAAAAGGGTTATAAGGTTATTAATTAAATAATTTTTATTTTTGACAATTTCTTCGTAATATGGAGTCAAACGTTGTCGGTGAAAGTTGCGGACACCCTGTATAGAAAAAAAATAATAAAAAATCCTCCAAAAAACCAGCGGCCAAATGCCAATGGATCCCCGTGATATCTCCTTCACATACAGGGCACGTTCAGAAAAAAATTAGAAATAGAACAAATGTGTCTATTTTTTCGTTAAATACCCAGCCACAATTTTCCCAACCTTTGTAAAATTTAGTAATTGTAACGGTAATTAAAGAAATTATGACAGAATAAAACGTGAATAAAGAAAATGTAAATAAAAAAGTAACCAATATTTTTATATATTATTGTTTTAAAAATATTATTACAAAAATATAAAGATTCATATAAAATTCTTAACAGTTACAAGTCTTTGGTAAACAAATAACGTTTGCGTCAATCGGAAAACTGCTTTTTCCTTTCAAAACCGAACGCTGTATTTTCTGAAAACAAAAAACGACTAAGCGACATTTCTCGTAACTGTAAAAATCCTTACCCTAGCGAAAACGTCAACGATAAACCTATCGGCATTCCTGAGCCTTTGTTCTCTTTGATTATAAATTTTTTCCTTAACCTCCGGCAGTTTCTTATAATTCCTCTTCGTGATTTCCTTCATTTCCTGCTCGGTGAACAATTTTCTCGGTTCTGAAATTAAAAATATGTAACAAAACACTGAAACTATTTCGAGAATACGTACTTCTTAACGAATGTTGCTGCATATTCTCTTCTGCGAACTTTAACTTAGCGTCGACGTTAGCGAACACTCGTGCGCTCTTCGAATTTGAAACCATGTGCCTTCTGAACTCGGCAGAGTGGATGAAATCGGGTCTATTTCTCTGAAGATGCTCCTTAAACGATATTTAAATGTTAAGCACCACAAAATTGATTACGTACTGTCAAAAATACAAACGTTACAGATAGAGGATGTCAAGTAAGCGACAGTCTTTTAATTTTTTGCATTCAGTCAATTTTTACCTTTAAATAAATAAATCATTACCCTAAGTTTTATTATTCTACATAAAACTATGTCAGAGATAGTTTAAAAAAGATTAATTAATTTGAACACCCTGTATCCCGAGAACTAACGTTTACACTATACACTCACCAAAAACAACAATTGTAATTTTTTTTCAAGATCTTACCATTAAAATAATACTAATGGGACACCTACCGATTAAATTTACGTAAATTTTAAAGTTTTTTTACTAGACTCCGTGCGAAATGTATGAACAGTTATGATTGTGCATTATGTCACATGTTTTACTCCATGACTGTTCTAAGACCTGTAGGATTTGTGTTATACCAAATTGAATAGATGGCGGAAGAGATCTTTTAAATATTACTGGATGCTGTTCCGCTGAACATCAGAACATATGGTATCTCGATGATGGTACTCTTTGCGATAATACTCGAATTATTCGAGATGTTTTTAGTCTGAACGGTGAACTGATAAAAATAGTCCAGTTGCATAGCCCGTTCGATAGCCAGATTTCAGCCTGTGCAACTTTAATTTATGAGGTTGTCTGAAACAGCGAGTGTATTCCACTAGTTAATACGGTCGAAGAACTACAAGAACGAATAAAAAATGCCGCCAGAATAATCACAACAAACCTGAAATTCTAGGAAGAGCGAAAGAAAATTTTCAGTGCTCTGTATAATTCTGCCTCGACAATAACAAAGAACGTTTTGACATTTGTTGTAAGTTGTATATTGCAGGGGGGAAGATTAACAATTTTCAAAATAGAGCGAGTATAAATATTGGGGAGTTTCATCACAACATGACAACAGCACTTAACCTAATGCTACACAGCTGAAACATACCCCGTGTGCACGCGGTAGACTTTTTCTACGGAACAAATGTAAACAACTATTACTGTGAAACATTTAGTAAATTTCAAGACAATTACTTTCCAGTTTTTAAATGAATAAAATAAAATATATCGATTTTGATGTACGAAGAATAGTGTTGTGCTTAAATTTTAGCACAAATTTTAGTAATTATGGATTTCTTAAAACAGGAACTTAACTTTTAATCAAATTATGTATTTGAAAAATATGTAATTAAAGTATCTAAAGAAATAAATAATTTAGGTATTTACCAAAAAGCAAAATTCAGTAATTTTTAAACGCACAAGTACAAAACAAACTACAACATATGTCCACCACCATTTTTGAGGCACGCACACCTTCGAATCCAACTTTCATACACTGGCTGGAAAACACCTCAAGAAAAGGAAATAGTGATACGCAAAAAACACTCAGACATGGTCCAATTCCAGATACCAACTGAATTACTTGTATTACATTTAAGCGCGACACCCTGTATATAATTGTATACAAATAAACGTTTTATTTTATTCACGTGTTATTGTAGCTTTTTTATTTTAAAGTTTTATGCGATAAAAAGCAAAAATCGCAAAGTTCAGAAAGATAAATTTGAAGGTATTGGTACTAAAAATCTCCAAAAATAATTTGAGAACAAAAAAAATATGGCCTTTTTGAGAAAAACAATTTTTTTTTTGAAAAAATGCAATTTCTGCCGAATAATGCACATTTTTGAAAAGGTAGATTTGAAGGGTTCCATTCCCTCTATCAGGCAAAATAAGAATTATTTTATCGTATCAACAAATGAAAAAAAATAACAAGTAATCAAAATGCAATCGGAAAATTTTTTTAAATTTTTCTTTTCGGCGATGCATTTTCCGAGTACATAATAGACGGAACTATGGATCTGAGAGGAAAAAGAAAAAATAGGGGTCCTCTTATTTTTGACCTAGAACAATAAAAAAATATTTTGGAGAAGCTTGGTGACAGGTCCACATGGAGCTCTGCATGATTTGAGATGGAATCGGCCTATATTTCAATAGTAACTGAATTTATTCCACGTCTTTTTGTTTATTATTTACTCAACTAAATACTTTAATTTATGATGAAGTGGGGATAACAAGAATTTAAAATTTAAAAATTTAAGCATTACGTCAAGAGCGCCAGCCGGACGCACCAACGTTCCAGGAAGGGTCTACGGCGAGCTGACGCCGGCGACCAGATGCTTACTCATATACTTACGACCGACTCCACACACAGGGACTCTCCAACGAACACTCACCCCGTCAACACGTCTTTTTCTATACAAGTTAGTTTTCAATAAAATACTTTATTATTACCGTTGAGAGAGCGTTTTATTTTTGCTGTACAGCGAAAGCAACCCTCATATCTTAAAAACAAAGAGATTTTTGAAACATTAGCAAATGTTGCTTTTGGAATGTTCTACTACAACAAAAAGGGATGACCACTGTATGGGTTCATTTCTCGATGTCAGTTTCCAGTTTAGGCGTTTCCTTTTGTATCATATGCGTGCAAGTAGAAAAAATGTTTTATATCTTCATTTAAGTAGTTCCAGTGTGTTTTTAAAAATGGAATCGTGTACCAGTGTTAGTGGGCAATCTATTGAAAATCAGGCTAGTTGTAAATGAACAAATTGAACGAACCAATGAATTTATCAGGGAGTTTGAGGGCAAATTGCGGATATGTCGGTCAGTAATGTCTTAGAAATGTGCAGTTCTTTAATAAAAGTGTCTGTCAGAAGTGTTCTTTGCATTAAAAAGTGTAAAAATAGCGAAACACATAGCAAGCAAGAAATTAAAACTATAACTAGACTTATTTACCTGCAATGTCAAACTGTCCTTATGTCGCCTATGCTTACTCGAAACACCATGCACATGACAGTTGCTGGTACAGATAATCCTCCCGCAATTGCATGTCCTTTCCTCGTCATCTTCCTTACCCCTCTTCCTTTCTTCCTTATCCCGTTTAGAAACGTTTTCCTTGTCCTTGTGCTTCTTCTTCTTCGACGGACTCGGCACTTTCAACCTAATCTCCTCCAAGGGAACCTTCTTCCTTCTCCTTCTAATTTTATTGAGACAATCCGACTCCAACGTTAAAGTGTAGGCTATGCCATTTTTACTTTTCGCGGTATTCCTCAATTTAAACTGGCAGTGCGAGCAATATTTCGAATTCTTGAACTGAAACGGTTTCGTGCAAGTGCAATATTCTTCGACGTCGCTGCCCATGGCGGTCCTTTTAGTTGTTGCGTCTGACATGTCAGTCTTATAGGTAGAGGGTTTGGAGCAAGGACAGTTTTCTTCTGGGCCGGCATAACAGACTGACGTTAGAATAGGCCTCTTGGTCAAGCAGTTACAGCAGAGCGGGTAGTTCTCGTTCTTACTGCCGAGTACGGATATCTTGTTCATGGGATAACTTTCACTACAGCAGACGCAAATAACTAGGGGCGGTTTAGAGGAGGACTCCTCGCTCATAGATCGTGACGTATCTGTAATAGGAATTCAGTAGCGATCAAAGAGATCAAATATTAACATTTTAAATCACAGCCATTATTATTAAAATCAATATTTCGGCATTGCCATTGTTTTAAGTTTTCTTGAGAATAACAAAACTGTTTAAGGTCTATAAAAAAAGTTTAAACAAAATTTTTACAAATTATAAAAGACTGATTGTAAGTAAATAAGGCCTAGTTTTAATAAAGACTAGTTTTCTTGAAAGTAATAAAGTTTTTAAGATCTCTAAAAATTATTTTAGGAGAAGCTTTACAAATTTTTTTGTTATTAATTTGTTGTGACAACTGTTTTAAATGTATGTATGTCCTTGGAAAATAAGGACTAGCTTCCTTGAAAATAATAAACTTTTAAAGTCTCTAAAGAATGCTTTAATAAAAGTTTGACTGATTTTTTATGCTATTATTTCGATATTGTCACTGTTATGAGTGTGATCCTAGAAAAATAATAATAATTTAAAATAATAAACCTAAGATCTCTAAAAAACGTACAAACAAATTAATGTTTTAAAGATTTTTTTACTATACTGCAGTTGTTATAAGTACTTTTCAAGATCTTTAAAATAAATGTTTTAATAACGACTAGTTTTCTTGAAAGTAATAAAGTTTTTAAGGTCTAAAAAATATTTTAGAAGCTTTACATTTTTTTTTTATTAATTCGTTGTGGCAACTACTTTAAATGTATATTCCTTGGAAAATAAGGACTAGCTTCCTTGAAAATAATAAACTTTTAAAGTCTCTAAAGAATGTTTTAATAAAAATTTGATTTTTGGTTTTTTTATGCTATTATTTCTATGTTGCCACTGTTGTGAGCGTGATCCTAGAAAAATAATAATTTAAAATAATAAACTTAAAATCTCTAAAAAATGTACAAACAAATTAATGTTTTAAAGATTTTTTTACTATACTGCAGTTGTTATAAATTCCTTATATTAGGAAAATAAGAAATAGGCCTTTGAAAAATGTTTGAACAAGTTTTAGAGATATTTTTTGCTATTATTTCTGTACTGAGACTATTAAATTCAGGAAAATAAGGACTACTTTTCATGAAAATGAAAAACTTGAAAGTTTTATAGATTTTTTTATTTGGGAGTACTGTTCTGAATGCCCCGTCCTAGGAAAGTAAAGATGTTTTTTTGAAAATAGTAAATTCTTTAAGGTCACTAAAAAAATGTTTTAACGAAGTTTTAGTGATTTTTTTTGCTATTATTTTCGTGTTGCCATTGTTCTAAATACCTGATCCTAGAAAAATAAGGAGTACACTTTCTAAATTTTCTAAACGAAAGTTTTAAAGATTTTTGTTTGCTACTATTTCTTTGTTGCTACCACACGAAATGCTTGTTCCTAGAAAAATACGGACCAGTTCTGTTGAAAATTGTAGGTAAACTTTTTAAATTTCAAGTCTCCCAAAAATATTTTAACAAACATTTTAGAGATGTTTTTCTATAATTTTAGTGTAACCACTCTTCTGAATCATAGAAAAATACAGACTAGTTTTCTTGAAGATAACTAAACAAAATTTAAAGTCTTTAAAAAACTGTTTTAACAAAAATTTTACAGAATGCTATTATTTGCTATTATTTTGGTGCTGTTATTGTTCTAAATGTCTAGGAAAATAAGGGACTGGCTTTCTTGAAAATAGTAAACTTTTCTGTAAACAAATGTTTTAACAAAAATTTTACAAATTTGTTTGCGTGGTTTTGTTTTAATTATTTTTATTATCGTCGGTTTTTCAGACTGACGATAACCAACTTAGTTTTTTTTTTAAACTTGATTTATTTTGTCTTGAAATATTTGCTTTTTTTGAACGTTCTTTTTGTGAAACATGGACAAGGTCCTGATTTTCTGGGCTGAATGAGTACTCGCTGAAATCTTGCTGCGACTGAGTACACTTTGTAATTAATTACAAAAACTGCTTAAATTTTTTTGAACCGACAATTTTCCTATGGATAATAATCTGTGAAGAAGCCGGCTAAGCTCATCTAACAACGAAAACCTGGTAAGTTGGTGTCACACTCAATTTAATATATTTCTCTTTTTTTTCAAGACTTTGAAACTATTGGGAATATTTGCCCCAAGAATTTGAACAATCCACATTTTGCATGTCATTGAAAATTTTTCAGTTCAGGCAAATGAGAAAATTTAACAGAGAAACTAAAAAAAATGTTTTCAGACATTCTTCCAAGTAAACATAAAACATTTATGTACATTGTCAAATGCAGAACATTAGAATACCTTTGACAATATTAGATGCTAGTAACGCTATAGTAAAAAAAATCGGCAACTAATTTCTAAAAAAAACGAGTGATAATCCTTAAATTAATTTACAACTTACCGTTATAAGATGACACGAGGATGGAAGGGCATATCTCATAACTCGCACTATTCGTCGTCAGACTGTCAATTTTGCGTTTTCTATCTTCTTTTTCCGAATGTGTTCCGCTGCTATCAATCTGAACTCTGACGTTTCTTCCCCGATTTCTACCCTGAGGCTTAGACTCACTTTGAGTACAGCAACAAATGGATATAACTTTCTTTTGATGGTCGGAAGTAAAACCAGAACTTTTCGAGGAAGACGTCGGTCGAGAACTGTCACTGTGTGAATGTACTGAGTTGGCGGCACTTGTCTGTGAGGCTACTGCGGCTGAAGTGCCGACAAAATGTAATTTTGGAGAGTCAGGTGTACCTTTTTGTTTTGTAACATGATCAGGAGATGTGCGAACAGATTGTGGTTGCGGAGAAGTATTTACGTCAACAAAACTAACCCCTTTAGTATTGTTCTTTAAACCGTTTTGTTCATCGAGTGATCGCGATGTTTGCAAGATTTGGTCTTTAACGTCTGTTTTTGTTTGAATGCCAATATTTTGAAAGTTCCCTTCTAATTTTAAAAACTCCGTTTGCGCATTGACGACAGCAACACTCGTTTGTTGAATTTCGTTCTGGTTGTTGACCCAAGTCTGTATCCCAATAGTTTGGCTTTCGCTTTCGCTTACATATTTTTCAGTTTGCAGACATTTATCGTCTACGGTAAGGATCGTCGTCTGCTGCTTTTGGCTCTGGGTATCTATACGGGTTTGTAACCCGACAGACTGGATTTCGCCTTGGTCGGTTTGCAGACATTTATTGTCGCACGCGGTCGAAACAGGGACATCGGTTTTAGAAAAGCGATTCATCAGTTTCTCGACAAAATCGCAAGTACAGTTGTCTTGAGTGCAAGCACAATTTTCGAAGACTTTTCTGAGTGATCCGTAAGTCGTTTCTTCATCTCTTGGCGAACGAACTGTAACAAACAACATTCTGAAAAGATGGACATTCAACAGGAACTAGTACCTTGGAAAAGTATAACATGAATACTATTTTTAACAGTGTTTGATTATGTGAGACTTGCAGAAAAATAAAAAATTGAGATATAACCTACAAACTATAAGTCACATATGTATTAAATATCACTGGTACTGAATGCCCGCGGGCGTAAAGTATTATTTTGTATCTTTCTACCTACTGGTAAAGAGTGACCAACTAATCTGCAGGTACTATGAAAGTGTGATTAAAGATGACACTTCATAGGTTATATCTCACCCACACTCAGAAAATGTAAGAATATAGAATATAGACACTTGAATAATTAAAATTTTTTGGATCAAGTCACCTATGGCATATTGATGAGAATTAATAAGTTTCAAAACAGTCTACATCTCATGATGATCTGTAGGGGCCTGTAGCTTGCAGGGAGTTATTTTCCACAATATCACTTGTTAAATCACCACAGATCATCTCGGCCAAAAAAAATAGGCTTTCCTTGTGCTATTTTTCTTTAGGCATGTCTTTTTGATATTTCTATTAACAAATCTGTTCTTTAAGTTAGGTGAAATTTTTCTTAGACTATTCTAGGCCACCAAGTTTTGTGTAACTTTGATTAAAAATAGTATAAAAAGCAGGAACGGAACAAAGAAGGAGTGTGGTACACATTGTCCCCCCTACTTTTTTACACAAGTCTATGATTTCAATGTTATAAGATAATGCATTTACAAAAATATCCTTAAGTATTAATTCAGATAGGTTACATCGGGACTAACAGCTAAATTAACTTTCCAATTCAGATTTAAAAATTATTTTTTCTTAAAACAGAATATGTGTTTTTTGTTGGACTATTGTTATTTAAAAGATTATTACCTTTACTTTATGGGGAATTTAATTCTAAAACTGTTCTTACTCTTGTTAGTTTTCAACAAAAACACGAAAAACTAATAATACGTATCGTAGCTGTGTTATTTAAAATAAATGAAAATTCAAAAGTTAATTACAAATTTAAACATCAAACTTGACAATCAGGAAAAAATTTGGAATAAGAATAATTTAATAAAAAAAACAAACAACTTATACAACAAAAATAACATACAATTCGCACTGATAAGTTACAGAAATTGTTCAAAATTTTCTTCCGGACATAATTTATAAGTCGTCAAAAATTGAAGTCTACTCTATCCAGATTCCCACTTTCAAAACCTATAACTTCTGAGGATACAAAAAATTTAAATAAAATTTGGGACACTTGGTGTTAAATGGAATGAGGTAAGCTTCATTTTCAATCGAAAGTATTATCTGGGATTTGACAGAAACGACTAATGACATCATCAATTATATTTTTCCTGTTAAAAAACTCTTTTTTTTTTCTTCTAATAACCTTTTATTAGAGAAAATTTTGTGTGTTACTTCCTGTTATGTTTTCTCATTTAGAAAAAGTTGATATGTTGTTAATTTACGGCAAGTCACAAAAAAATTCAAGAAGAGCTGTAGAGTTATATCGAGAAAGGTATCCAGATCCCCTCATTCCTGACCAAAGAACCTTTACAAGATTGGAGGCGACCTTGCGATGAAATGAAGATGCATTTTCTGTTCGGAAAAGTCAAATAATTGACCGAAGGGTAAGAAACAATGTTAGTACAACTAGGCTATTACAGTATTTCGAACAAAATCCATGAAATTCTATACAGCAGGCTAGCCGGGAATTGAATTTGGATAAATCAACGAATTTTAAAAACCAATGGTTATCATGACTACAAAATTCACAATTTGGAGTATTTGCCTGAGCGTCACTTTGCAAACAGACTTAATTTTATAGCTCAAATTGTAGTAAATGTAGAAACTGTTGATCAGAACCTTTTTCGGCACGTTCTTTGGACAGATGAAAGTCGGTTTCTCAGTAATGGTTTGCCAAACGGGCGCAACAAACACTACTGGTCCTTTGAAAATTCCCACATTGTAAATCCAGTCCAAAACCAAGGTCATTTTAAGTAAATGTAAGGTGCGGCATCATCGGAAGACATGTAATTGGGCCTTATTTTTATAAACATACACTGAACAGTGTGAGTTACCTAAATTTCCTACAAGAAGGGCTTGCTGCACTTCTGGACAATGTGCCTTTGCAGCTAAGGAGAAACCTATGGGTTCAACCCGATGGAGCTCCACCCCACAAGACAGGATTGTGCAGCAATATTTAGATAACAGTTTCCCAGAAAAATGGATTGGGCTTAATGGACCTATTCAGTGGCCCGGAAAGTCACCAGATCTAACATTCCTCGATTTTTTTATGGGGGGTCTTAAAAAATAAGGTTTACAAAATACTTTCGCGAGATATTAATCATTTGAAAGAAAAAATCACAAACGCTTGTAATGAGTTAAACGGCAAAATGTTAATAAACCACAAAGAAGTCAGGCGAAGATTGGATATGTGTCTTGAAATGAGAGGAGGTCATATAGAGAATACGTATGTAGTATGAAAGCGTTTGCCTCATTTTTTAAGTTTAGTTATTGTTATCATCTTTTGTTTTAACTGTATTAAAGAATTATCGAGATTAATCCTTTTATTTATTCTTAATGACATTTATGCACTATAAACAACGAACATTCAATTATTTTCCAACGACTACTTGATCCTTCCACGGCTAATGTGATTTTTAGGTGGTATTCCTTTTGAACTCTTTAGGACGATATTGTTTATAACTTTTAAAAGGGAAGTAATACAGAAAAATTTATCTAATTAAAGTTTATTAGAAAAAGAAAGCTTTTTAACAGGAAAAAAAAATTGGGTATGTTTCTGGAAAAAATATAATTGATGACGTCATTAGTCGTTTCTATCAAATCCCAAAGATTGATTCGATTGAAAATGAAGCTTACCTCATCACATTTAACACCATGTGTCCCAAATTTTATTTAATTTTTTTGTATCCTCACAGTAGGCCCATACTATCGAGTTTGAGACACCCCGTACATACGACAGTCTTAAAGTTAATAATAGATATAAAGACTTACCACTTTTAGAAAGTGTTTGATCGAGAACATCTACTTTTTGACTGGAAGGTATTAAGTTTTGTTTCCTTCTATTTTCTTCTTTGGACGTGGAAGGAAATGTTGAAAATTTGACGGTGGTAGGTCTTGAAGGAGCTGCCGGTATAAATGTTCCTAACACGCCGTTGTTAGAATTTGTTGCTTCCGTTTTTAACCGTTCTTTGCTTTCTGCATCTCCACATACACAAATATATTTCTTGCAAATGTAACACATCGTAGAAATCAACTTTTTGGAATAATCTTGACGAGTAGTGGGATGAGTAGAAGTATTTATGGGTGTTTCTTTCAGGCAAATGCAAGTTGGGCTACCACATTTTCCCAAACAGGCACAACCCGGCTCGTCTTCCACTAAGTTACATATGCACGGAGATTTTTTGCACTCTTCACAGTACGTAGTGACTTTGATATTCGTAATGCTGTCGGATGAAATGACTTCGATATTTCCAGTCACTTGTCTAGGTCTCTTTAACTCTCTCCCCTTTCTTGCATTCAAATATTCCTGAATGGTATAAACTTGACCGTCAAGTTTAAAATTCATCTCTGAAGAACTTTTAGAGCCAATCACAGTTTCAATAACGTAATTACGCTTGGGTTTCGATGGTGTATCGTTTTCATTGAACACGGTATAAACGTTGGTTGTTTTCTTAACGTTCAATGGATTCTTGCGAACGACTTTCGGTTTTTCTAGAAGGCCCTTAAGTTTACCTAGGTGAGAGATTTCGTTATTGATCCAACTAATTTGGTACTGTCTTTCTTTATCGGCAAATTTTACAAAACAGTCTCCATTCCCGTTAGAACTATGGGACTTTTCCTGGGATTGTTTTTCTAAAATCTTTTCAGACAAGGTTTTCTCCTCTTTCCAGTTCTGATAACTCTTCGCTGAAGAAAACGACGATTCGTAATGCCTATCTAAACTTGTACTGCCTGTCTCGGAAAAAGTTTTAATAGATTTATTTTCATCAGCACTTTCGCACTTACGATTCACCAAAAATTCGTTGTTCGTAAGCGTGAATGGATTCTTTCTCATGTCTCTAGAGTTTATCGGCACTATTTCTGGAGCACTGCTAATTTCCTCTTTAGAAGACTGTTGGCCTGGCATAAAATCCTGGGTAAAAGTCTTCTGAACCAATTGTTTTCTTCTCGGGGAAAGCTTCGGTTGATCACCTGCAGGGTACCACGGAATATTAGACTGTAAAAGATTATTCTCGTTTCTATCCGCGGTTTTTGGTAATTTCTTTGGGACAAATAAATCAGAGCTGGTGCTTGAATCCTCGAGATACTTTGATTCCGTTATTTTCTTTATGATTTTTTTGATGTATCGTTTCTTTGTAACCGGGTCATATTTCTTTGATTTTAACAGCCTCTGTAACAGATAAACACTCTTCCCAATATCATCTTCTACATTATCTGCTAGACCTGCTGATACCAAATTTCCTAGACAAAATTCTTTTGAGGAAGACTTCTCAGAGTTTTCTTCAGAGTAATTAGTTCTTAAATCGTGTGTTTTCTGAGTTCTTTTGAGGTTCGTCGCTTGCTCCTGTCCTGATTTCATATCATTATTATGCAACGCACTGTCTTTAAGCTGTGATGGTTGTTCCACTAAATATTCGAAGCTGTCGCAGTTTGATTCTATGATATCAGAATCAGTTTGAGTGCTACGACCACTGTTTTTATCACTCTCGGAATATTCGAAGTAAACAAGTGATTGATTGTTATACATTCTTTGAGAATTTCGTATTATCAGCTGTAATTCTTTTTCAGTCACTTCATCCGTCTGTACGGCTACTGTTGATTTTTTTGCCACTATTTGAGGTGGTCTATTTGTTAAATGTTGACCGCTACAAGTACATTCAACTGTAATAGGTTTCGTCACTGCTAAGTTGACTATCTTCTGATTTTGATATTTTGTGAGAACCTTCCCAAGATGGCTACTACTGATTTCATGTTTTTTGTGTATCACGTCCTCTTCACTTACTCTTGCTGGTACAACTGTCAAATTACAAGGTTTTTTTAACAATTTCTTGCCGATACTTTTTGAATTAACTTTTTTGTCTTCGCCATTATTACTTGATGACATTTTAAATACTGGTGTACCCGAACAAGCATTATCGATAAAATCTTGCCCTTCATCTAAAAATTTTGGAGTAGAATGAGCTCCCGGCACCCCAATTTTTTGTTTCAAATAAGAAAGCGTACTTGCAAATTGTTTCAAGCTTTGTTTGTTACTTGAATCCGAACTGGATACATTAATATTATGTGCATCAACATTTCTATTGCTTGAAGAGGAAGACGAACTACCAGTATTAACTGGTGCTTTAATATTTGTACTGCTCAAAGATGTCGAACTTTCTTTCTCTTTTAAATGTGAAGAACACACATTTTCATCGCTATGGTACTCCGAACTACTAGAACAGGTAAGTAGAATTACCTTCACATTACCGTCACTGCTACTGCTTTGACTTCTCGTAACTGGTGGATTAGATGTGACAGGTCCAAAATCATTATCCGTTCTTTTCTCAACCAAGTCTGCTATCGTTGGCAATGATAAGCTCCTTCTTAACCGCTTCTCCTGACAATTGCCGTAACCAATATCGGCACCACTATCCCATTCAAGTTTGTGGTTTGACATAGGACTGCTGCCTCTCGAATTAGGTATCGGTTCTTCTACATTTTTATTTATTTCTTCGCTGGTTACGATTATACTTATATTTGTTTTTACTGAAGTTTCTATTTCAGCTACAGGACTAACAGAACCTTTAATATCAGGTAAATATGACACGGAGGTTCCTGAGAAATACTTTGGAAGATCTCTATTTTGAGAATATTTTTTATAATAGTCTAAAATGTGTTTTGTTGCAGCATCATCTTTTGAATCAGTATCCATTGCTGTTACGACTATCTAAAAACTGTTTTATGTAAATTACCAACGGTGGATGATTTAATTTCATTTCCTAATTGATAATTAACGTTAACTGACACTGAAATTTGGCGTTTATAATTTTTCAAATATAAAGCATAACCTCGAAAATTTCATTTAGAATTATCAGTCCTGGAGTGTACTTTTCTCTACTTACATATTAAATTAGGTGTAAATAAACAATATTGAACAAATTTGTCTTCTGTAATAACAACAATCACTAAAACTAAACAATTACATATTTGAAAGTTGTAAACAATCTATCAGACGTTGTATTTTTGACAGTTTAGCCAGACTCCAACGCGGCAAGTTCAAAATTCCAGTCCACTGAAGAGAAAATGTTCTCTTTTGATGTCAGTAATATTGAAGACACATATTTACGCCCCTGTGTATGTGCAGAAGAAAATAAAAATTTAAGTAAGTCCTACTAGTGCTAGATAAACGACTTTTAACTAATTGAACACTTCAATTTCTAGGTAAAAGCTTTTGTTACGTTGAAGGAACAGAACTGGATATATCCAGGTCTGATAACAAAGAAGAATTGGGCGAAAATGTTTGGTTTCAGGCAAAACCACCGAAATTATTTAATAAAGAATTAACTCCTCTTATTACCGCAAGACAGATTCAGATATCAAGAATAATTATGAGTGGCACCAGAGGTTCGTCTACATTACCTGATGAAGATAGACCCAAAGAAAAGGTGATAGTGAATATGAAGAAGAAAAAATCAGCTGTTAAATTCCTTTCTACCACCGAAGTCTGTCTTGATTAAAATATTACAATCAAATCAAGAAATTACAGAAACTGAAATGAATGTTAACATGTTTAGATTTTAAAAATATATAGATGACCATCATTTAAAAATGTCGTTTTAATACAATTGTTTAAATCCAAATTAAATGTCTAGCATGGCATAATCTTGGAAATTTCTTGTCTGGGAATTTTGTTGAACTAGCAAAAGCAGTTTATTTAATAATTTATGAAAAAACTTTTAATTACAGCAGACTGTCGTCGTCTTTAAAAAAAAATGGTAACGTAAATTACTAAGTAAAAAGCTGTAATATACAGGGTGTGCGTTATAGAGTGGGCGAAACTTTACCACTAGATACCTACTAGATTCTACGACGGAATTAATGGGGAAGTCATATACAATGTTGCTCATAACGCTTAGTTTTCGAGATACAGGGCGTTGAAGCTGAAAAAATATGTAACATTTTCTCTTCGAGCTGATTTCGTGAAATTTCGTATTCGGGTTTTTTTTTGGGATGAAAAGGGATCATTAGGACGCATTTAAACTGCCAACATTTTTTTATACACAAACTATCTTTTTCTTTCTCTGTCACTCGTGTAGATTGTCACCGTAAGCGTGCTTCTTCCATGTAGTATTCTACATGCTCTAAGGTATAGCTGGTTGCATGATGTGAAAACTATGAATGCCAAATACAATATTTAATTAAACGCAAACACGCTTGCGTCAAGATCACTGAAGCAGATATTACACGAATCGTATTGCTACACGGATGCCTATTTCAACAAATACATTATATATTCAAGATTGCCAGATTGGGCGGAATTCTGCCATTTGGCTACTTTATATATTCTTTTTATTTAAATTGAGCAGCTTTTTCGGTGAACCTGAAAACACTTTTTCTGTTTGAATTAGCTGTCAGCTAGACAACGGTAATGGATAAAAATCACATTTTTTTTTAAATAAAACACTCCGTAACTCCATAAGTAGTCATATTTTATCTAAGCGTTATGTGTCAATTTTTAATATTTTCAGTTCAGGATTATGCAGTTAGCTTATCTACTTACAATTATTAATGAATCAGCCTGTATATTGGCACAATAAAAATATATTAACGTACAGTAAAAAAAAGGGACCTTACAAGAGAAAACATTTATCTAATTGTTATACATATAAGAAGCGGGTTAAATTTCTATGAACGTGTATGAGATTTTTTAATTTTGGCGATTTTGGCTATGTTTTTCAGATAACCTGGTGAAATTTCACAAAATCTGGCAACGCTGTATGTGGGATTGTGGAAATCCAATGTCTGTAATAATATTTCGTAGGAAGACGCAGACGGAGATAAAAAATTAATTGTTGGGCAATCCAATCCAATCCAAGCAATTCGGCATTGAGTTAGCAGCATAGACAATGTTTTGGAAGGTGTGACGGTAAAGTTAGTTAGTTTCAGTTCACCCGCGTACACTCTGCGAAGTGGCAGACGTATATAAATGTGCCTAATTCCCATTAATATTTGACGTAACTACCTACGATTACGATCTACAATAGCAAACGATAAAAGCCATCACTCATCACTGTTTAGTATTTACCTACTTCTCAACGAAAGATGTTAAAAAATACAGCGTTCGTGTGCTTTTTATGTGTGCTAGTAATTGGTAAGAAGTTTCAAATAATTGAATTGTTCGTGTAGGTAATCATAAAAGTAGGAAATGAGTATTTTATTTTTATATAATAGGATGTATTTATTTGTTTATGTACCTAGTAGCTACCTAAATACATAGAAAGAATACGTGAATATTGTAAATATTTATCCACTGGGAGTTGGGAGTAGGTACTGTCATANTAAAAAAAAAAAGCTCACGCACTTCAAAACCTAACCACTTTTTCGTTTTATTCTAAAAAAAGGTTACGCAATCAGTGACTATTTGCAGTATTCACTAACATTTTGGGGTGCAACCAAAAGGTAATAATCACTCGAGTGGTGGAAGTATACATCTCGAGATATCTCGAGTGATCTCAATAATCGAGTACCACTCGATTTTTCACTCGAAATCTCCCATCACTAGAGTTTCAGTTCACCCGCGTACACTCTGCGAAGTGGCAGACGTATATAAATGTGCCTAATTCCCATTAATATTTGACGTAACTACCTACGATTACGATCTACAATAGCAAACGATAAAAGCCATCACTCATCACTGTTTAGTATTTACCTACTTCTCAACGAAAGATGTTAAAAAATACAGCGTTCGTGTGCTTTTTATGTGTGCTAGTAATTGGTAAGAAGTTTCAAATAATTGAATTGTTCGTGTAGGTAATCATAAAAGTAGGAAATGAGTATTTTATTTTTATATAATAGGATGTATTTATTTGTTTATGTACCTAGTAGCTACCTAAATACATAGAAAGAATACGTGAATATTGTAAATATTTATCCACTGGGAGTTGGGAGTAGGTACTGTCATATGTAGTTGCGAATTAAATTTAATTGAAATATAAAATAAAAGGGAAATACTCTTCAAAATTTGTACTTTGTATTAGATATCTGTTATACACATTAAATATGCGTAAAATGTTTGGAAATTGGCTAAAAAATACGTTAGGAACTTTTTTCTGGAAATAATAGCCAGAATGTTAGAATTTTTAAATCTGTATAAATTACTTTCCTCATCTTATCAAGGTCTCGTGGGAAACATGTTTTAGGTAGCTATATTGAATAGTTTTATCCAAGAATTAATTTTGAGAATTTACATACCTACTTGAAGTGAATTAGTGCATATAAAATAAAAATTAATTTCTATCATTTAAATTGTGTGCAGTAGAGTTTAATATATGTAATTACAGTACAAAATTAAATGGGGGAAAAAAACATAACAAACATCAACCAGGAAGGCTTTCGTTTTGGCAAAAATAGTACCTATTAGCAACTAATATCAGTTCAGAGTAACTCTAAGTTGCTATTAGCTACTGATAGCTATTATTTTTGCCAAATCGAAAGGCTCTCAGGTACATATTTATTTGCGTTATTATTATAACCTATATAGGTATAATATTAAAAAAAATGTTATAATTAGTTTCAAATTTCAAGATGGTAAAAATACGCCCTAACTAGAGGCTTTTATAATAAGGCATCGTTTTTTTCTGAAATCGAGTGTTGTTTTAGTTCTGTCAGCGGATAGTCCTACAACAGTTTACAATAGGTAGTTAAGTTACCCCACTGTATTGTCAGTAGTCAGTATGTATTGGCTCAGATGTTCTTATGAAAGGAATGGTCAACTAATTTGAAAACCATTATTTGTCGAAACCTGTGGTCGAAACCAAAACAGACCGGCAGGCGGCAATAGGCAATAAACTCTAAAAAATACAAATAAAACAATACCTATATTGTTTGGGTTGAGACCAACTAAAAATGAAAACAATATTAATATTAATATGTCCATTAACACAACAAACTAAACAAGATCACAAAAATATTCTAGATATGTTTAGTTTTTTTACGTTAAATGCAAGCATACAAACGACATTTATTAATTCAGGACGGTTGAGTCCTATTTGATACCTATATTTTGACAACAAAAAATGTCTTCTGTTTTATTTTATAAAATAAGTATTTTTCGTTTCCATTACTTCTAATTTTTGTTTATGATAATTAAGATTAATAAATAAAATGTTTGTATACCTATTCATAAAGGGACGAATTAAGATAAAATTATTAATTTACATTATTAGACATGCCATTCTCCATTGATTTAAATTAATTGTAATATGAAATTAACGGAGATTAATCAGTAAGTACCTATTTTTTTTACTACTTTAGTATGATTGTGTTAATTTAAGTTACTGATAATTTTAATTATATATTTAATAGAACAGATAATTTTTATCAATTTACGAGAGGTATTAATTTCAGTAGGTAGGTATACATAAGTAAGTATACCGACCGATGTGACAGTAAATTACAAGGTGAATTACTTTTTTTTTTATTTAAAACAAACATGACACCCGGTGTTCCAACGAAAACACAGTTGCAGTTCGGGCTATATTATAGATATGGAATGAGTTTTTGAATTGAGGAGCTTTTAACTTTGCAATATAATTTCAAAAACTTTAAATACTATAACTATCATTGAATATATATATCCTTAAATTCGAGGATATATTATGTATAGAAGAAAAATTAAACCGTAATATATATTTGTTGGAGAGAAAGAGGGCGTTGAAATTCCAAAAAATTCGAAAAACTGGAAATTTGTTGTATTGTTTATATCAGGCTCCTGATCAATTTTTACATAAATTTTCTTTTTCCGTTGAGTATTGTACTCACTAATCCAATAACGAAACAGGAAAATGCAGTAAAATTTGATGACCTTCTATAAAACTTGAAATGAAATCAATGATTTTATTTAATTATCAGTTAATAATAAGCAATTTGTGTTAAAATTACTAGAATTATTATGTCTGAGCCACCCAACTGATACGAAGCAAGATATTTTTTTTTTTGCAGTGAAATTGAAACTTCACATTTAATTATGACCTTCGATTTTGTAACTGTATCCCTTTGCAACTTTCCAATATTTAAAGAAATTGGGGTGGTACGTTGTGGTTATTATTAATTCTAAAAATTGAATAAACTACATAATATACAGGCTGTCTTATGGTGATGGCCCATTAGAATATTTCAGAGATTACTTCGATTTCAGTTTTCAAAATTTTGGCCCGGAAGTCGCGTATTTGAATTGAAATATATTATTGCACTATCGACAAGATAAATTAAAAATAAGTAAAAAATATTAGAGCTTCCTTGTACATAAATCTAACCGTTTTCGAGATAATCGACATTATATAAAAATTTTGACAGATGCAAGCCTTTCGAAAATTCCTTATAACTTACTTCTGGAAGCTTTCACTTGTTTTTCCGAACACACAAAGAACATAAAATGCACTACACCTGCCACTACCAAAATCACCTGAAGAAAATTGTACCAAGTGAACCATTTTTTACGTTACATTTTGAAAACTTAAAACCGACAAAACTTTTTAAATTCAAACGGAACACCCTGTATTTTTTGCACCATATTATAGAAAGTCAAATTCTCTATTCACCGATATGGGCATTGTAGAGGTTACAGTTTCGATTTTCTCAGATACCGTCAACGGGGGTGATGTTGGACGAATTTTTCGATTATTTTACTCTATTTCTGGGTCTGATACGTCATATATTCTGAAAAAAATCATGTAGGTAGGCCAAGGTGAGGCCTATTATGAGGTATAATTAAAATTTGTATTTTGTTTTTGGTTTTATATATATTTTTTGATAACAGTTGTCTAACTTCACCCGGCAGAAAGGGGTGAAGTTGGACATAGCTTTAAATCAATGGAAATCCAGCTACGGAACGGTCTATTACCCGAGTTGGACATAAAAATTGTTTTTTAAAAGGAAATCTTTCAGTTTCACTAAAATAAATTTATAGAGTTTGAAAAATGTGTATTAAACCTTTATTAAAACTATCATTAACTAAATTTAAATTTCTTTTAAAAATTAACAAAAAATATTTAACATTATTTAAAAACTTATTTAAAAATATTATAATTCCTTTAACGTAGTCGTGAAGTGTTGATTTTGGAACATTCCACTTTTCAGCTGCAGTCCTGACACTTAAAATCTTATTTTTCACTTCTTTTACTGCCATTTCCAAATTTCTGGAGGGGCAATTACAATTCGGCTTTATGTCAAGCAGTTTTCGATATTTTCGGGGCATTTTTTAGGTGTCCAACTTCACCCTGGAATAACAGAGCAGTGTAAAAAAAAATTCCCCACCACTTTTACTTACAAAAAACGAAATAAAAGAATATTCCTAAATTTAAAGGAAGGCTGTGTAGTCCAGGAGAATTACACATTGGCATGGCTGTTGCTTGACGTAGATTAGATATTAGTAAAAATCGGTCGAAAATAATATAAACAATGAAAATATAAGGTTGCGCCAAGAAAAAAAGTTGTGCTATTTGCAGAAAAAATTAAAAACTGCAAAAATACTCAAAAATCACGTGTTTTTCCTAACATTTTCCAATATAACTTCTTAAATATGCAGTTTACAGAAAAAACTATTACTGCTGAAATTGTTTGTTATGAAATTTGCTATAAGACACAATTGTTTTGAGACCTGCGTATTCAATATTTTTGTTGCTAGAAAGCCAAAACAGCGTAAGAAAGTGATGAAAATCGAGGTAATTTTGAAGCGTTCAACTGATAGGTAAGAAATTGTCCAATTCTACTATAAATGTACATGTAAGTACTTTAAAGGATTACAAAACGAAATTCCAAAACCCGATCGAAATCGGTCTGATAGTTTTGGTATGAGACAATTTGTTACTAAATTTCAGCGCGAAATGTCGTTATTTTTTTGCGTCAGTGCTGGGGTTAAAGTTAGGCATTTTAATTGGCGCTGATTTTTTTACACATACTTGGACTCTTTAACTATCATATAGAATCGTTATAATATTAATTTTCTTTTTTTTAATAATTTTTGGAGCGATTTTAAAAATTCGAAAAATTTTAACTTTATAAACAAATACTTTCGTGAAGCCGTTTTGCGGGTTGGAATATATACCAAAGTACTAAAAAATAGTTCTCGGAAAGACGCTTAACTTGAAAAAAAGAACGTTCAAATCGGTCACATAAGTTCCGAGATATCAAGTGTCAAAGTCAACAAGCGTTAGCTGCAAAACTATGCATAATGTAACAACAACAAAAATTGAATTTGGTAGGTTTTTTAAGAACTTTTCGTATGTGCTTTTATAAATATTATCGCACGTGTGCTTTTTATATGAAAATTCAATGAATATCGCCAAACCGACCGTTTGAGCCGCAAAACCGGGGGGAGGGGATGAATGATAGAAATTGAAATCGCGCGTTCAAAAAGAGCGCGCCCTCTTCGGCGTTCAATATCTCGGCTTCTACGGCTCTGATTTTGATGATTTTTTTTAAATCGATATAGCAAAATGAGAGGAATTCAATTATCAAGATTTCATTGAAATATTATAAAGCCTTATCAGCCTATTACGACTGCTTAAAATTTCATACATTTCATTGTTGTATATTCATGTAAATAATATCGATGACTATTGTTAAGAGGTATTAATTTTAATAACTACTTGGTAATAATGTTTAAAATCTTGAAATTTTTATGTCCTAATGTAATTTATTTATTGTTTACATATAAAATAGAAAAAAATGCAGATACAAATAATTATTATTTGATATTTATAAAACGTATCATCG